GGTCTCTTGGGGAGATTAAGCGTTGGAACTCGAACTCTCTTTTTGGTTGGAGAGAGCTGTGGCGTTTCCCTACTGCCCCGTCGCCATCTTGGTCATCACCGCTGTTATTACTTTTAACCTACCCTAGGATAATGAACCTTTTAGGTTGAAAATTACTGTTCTATTATTATTATTAACATTGTTTAAATAATGTTTTTCTCCCTTTTAGATTCAAAAGCTCTCCTTTAGCTGGAGAAATAGTTTATAACAGCTGGTATAAGGGGGTTATTTTGAAACAGTTTAATGTATTGCCCATGTTGATCTCAAACTCCTAGACTCCAGCAGTCTTCCCACCTCCGCTTTCTCCAGCAGCTGAGAACAGCTCTTTTTACTTCAATAATTCATGTGCTTCCAGGTATCCAAGTGGCAGCTGGTAATTAAGAATGAGTTGTCATAGGCTCTTCAATTGTTTCTCATGAAGCTGATAAAATTCTCTTTAAGGGTGGGGGTTGAGAGACAGGCTCTGGAGCCAGAAAAACTGGTCCTACCCGACTGTATGCCAGTCATTAGTGACTATGACTCTGTAATTCAGTTCCCTTTTCTGAAACAATGGGGATAATAAGTGTACATACTTGATAGGAATATTAGGAGAGCTAAATGAGATGCTTACAGTGTTAAGAAATAGAAGTATCATGAAAAGACCTTGTCCACATGTACTAGTGGTAGTGCTTTAGGTAGAAACTAAATTTAAGATAATAGAGGGGAAGATGGAAACTACCCAGAAAGTACTATGCAGAGGATTGCTCAGTTACTGTGTATAGATTCTGCTTCTGACTTTGACATTAATTTACTAGGGCCTTCAGAGTAGCTTAACTGCTCTGTAATTGGTTTCCTTGTTTCTGAAAACAAAAGGAAGAGAATCTTTTCATCAGTAAAGTTGGATAATCCTTTGCCCTGTTTGTTTTGTTTTTCCATTTTTACTTTTGGTTTCCTTTCATTCAGACTCAAAAATGAAGGTCATCAGGTTGTGTGAAGTTTTCTCTACTTCCTTTAAAGGAAGTGTATTCCCTCTTTCTTTGAATTTGGGTGTAAAACTTAGATACTAAAAATCTTAATTTCAGGTTCTGTTGTAGGAATAAGATGTGTCATATAGATTCATAAGAAACTTGAACCTGACAGAGCTTAGTAAATTTTTCAGTTTTTTTATAAGTATAAATAATCATCTATAGAACCAAAATTCTACTTGCCTGATAATTATGAAATGCTATATTTTTAATATCTTTTGTTAAACCAGAGATTCTCCTGATGAACTTCCTGTGTATGTTGGTACAAATGAAGCAAAGAAGAACTGTGTAATTGTTCAAAGTGGAGATAATATGTTTGCTGCAGTCAAGTAAGAAAATATTTTATTTTGATCCCCCTGTGTTCAATTAAACACCGATGGGTATACATGTTTACAGAACATTACAGAAGAGAATTAGGAAACTCAAGGTTATAGATTTCTAAAGATGATTTCCATGGCTTTTCTAGATAGTTTTATTATACACTTCTGTTTTGCTTCTCCACCAAAAGGTACCTTATCTTGAAAGTGTGATGAAACCAAGTGCTAGAGAGTAGGTTTGAGGCTAAGAGATAGTCATAATAATGAAATGAAGGTGATGCAGGAACTTCTTGGCTGTACAAGACCTTGCTAGAAAGAATGCCAAGAAGTGTGTTGTAGGCAAGGGAACAGCCCATTTCCATATGTATTAATGCAAATAAGTGTCATAGAGTAGTTGAAAGCGCTATATGCAGAATATAGTGGAGAGTTCAGAACATTGATTCAGAGTTCAGAACATTGATTCAAATTTGACATCATTAAATTTGCATTTTTATGGTTAATGTGATTTTGGTGTTTTGGGTTTCTGTGGTGCCTTAGCGCGCCCTTGCTAGTGTTCTGAGCTTGGGTAAGTTGAGGGTCTTTTGTGCCTCAGATTCCTGATATGTAAAAAGGACTGAAGAATCACACTAGAAATGTATAAATGTTCTGAGCCTTTTATAGTATTCAGCCAGTGGTACCTTCAAATGTAGGTGGCAGATACAAATGTTTTTGCCTGGGTTCTAGAACTGAGTTCAGAGGAAGAGGTTGACTTTCGTCTTAAAGTAGGTGCCATTTCCAGTTTTACTCTTCACTTAATATCACAAGCAAAAATATCAGTGTGTTGGTGATAAATATACATTATTTCTAACTGGCAATAATATATTGGTTTTATGTTCTTTTAAAATTTCCTTGAAGTATTCTTTTATATAAGCTTATAAAGTAGCATCATTTTTCTACTATGTTTTAAGAATATCTTAGCACAAATTTGAAGTTAACATTTTTAAATCAATTAAACTTAAATATCTAATGATGTCCTTTGGCTCTGTTAAAAAAATACCTTTTGGATATCACCCAACGCAGACGAAATAGTTGTACTGTCAAAGCTTTTAGAATTCACAACCTTTATAGACTAAGATAATGACAGTTTGCTTTGTGAAGGTTCAAATGTGTTTGTGACTTTAAGTGTCACTAGCCTACAATTTTGTGAAATTTGTGAAATTTATATAATCAATCTCAATAAAAAAATTGTAAAAAGAAATCCTCGTGGTATCTATATACTATTTTTTCTTCTTATTCTAGACTTCTAGACTTCTCCAAAATAATCTTATCTTAATATTCAAGCAGTGAAACTAAAAGTTGACTTAATTTCAACTTTTTTTTTTTGCTGGTCCTGGGGCTTGAACTCAGGACCTAGGCATTGTCCTTGAGCCTCTTTATACTATAAAGTTAGCTCTCTATTACTTGAGCCATAGCACCACTTCTGGATTTTTCTTAGTAGTTTATTGGAGATAAGAGTCTCACAGATTTTATTGCTCAGGCTGGTTTTGATCCAAGATCTTCAGCTCTCAGCCTCCATAATAGCTAGAAATCGTGCATTAGCCACTGGCACCTGGATAATCTCAGCTTTAAAATGATTCTTACCATAATGTTTATAAAAAATACATAATACAAACTCCAATCGTTTGCTGTTTCTGACTGGTAGCTTTTAATACTTTTCTCTTAATAAAACCTTTTAGAAATTTTGAGAGAACCATTGTGAGACTTTTTTACTGGACTTTCCCATTTTTAATCTTAGCTGCTTAAACTTCTGTGTATAGTGGCCAGCAATATAATGAGGCTTTTACTTCTTTTCAGATTATTTTTGATGAAAAAACTTAAAGAAGTAACTGATAAAAAGAAAACCAGCCTCTTGAAAAGCATAGATGAAAAACTCACAGATGCAGCCAGAAAATTGGGATACTCACTGGAACAGAGAACCATGAAGATGAAACAGAGAGACAAAAAAGTATGATTTCATGCTGTTAGTCTTAACTTGTGCTGTTTAGCAGATCTCCTCTTGATTTCTCCCTTATTCTGTAGCCCTGGCTCACAGAGAGCTGGATGCCATTCCTTAGGGCAGTGGAGGTCCTTCAGGGCTATCCAACACCTGAATCTCAGATGGCACTGGAGTAGTAGTCAGTGAACTCTTAAATTTCTTTTTTTGTTGTTGTTGTTGGTCATAGGGCTTGAAATCAGGGCCTGGGCACTGCCCCTGAGCGTTTTTTGCTCAAGGCTCATATAGCATGCTACCACTTAAGAGCCACAGCTTCATTTCCAGTGGTTAGTTGGAGATAAGAATCTCATAGCCTTTCCTGACCAGGCTGGCTTTGAATGTTCTGAACCTCAGATCTCAGCCTCCTGAGTAGCTACAGGTGTGAGTCAATAGCACCTGGCTTTTAAATTCCCTCTTTTAATGGCTGATATTTCTTGATTTAGTATAGTGTTTTCAGGCAAGAATCGTTTTTTTTTTGTTTTGTTTTTTGTCGGTCGTGGGGCTTGAACTCTGGGCTTGGGCGCTTTCCTTGGCTCCTCAGCTAAGGCTAGCACTCTACCACTTGAGCCACAGCGCCACTTCCGGTTTTCTAGTGATTTATTGGAGATAAGAGTCTCATGAACTTTCCTGCCTGGGCTGGCTTTGAACCACAATCCTCAGATCTCAGCCTCCTGAGTAGTTAGGATTATAGGTGTGAGCCACCGGTGCCTGGCTGGAAGAACAGTTTTATAAAAATACATTCAATTGTATTTTTAAGACCTTAAATGTAATTCCCTTTTGAGAGAGTACATTTTAGGATTTGTTAGGTTTCTCCAGTAAATGTGTACAAGCAGTTCTTCCTTTTTCTTCATTGATCCCTTCACCATTTCTTTTTACATTTTTTAATGCCTGAAGTGTGAAGAAGTATTTTGTAAAGGAGCAAGTACTTTTGGGTTTTGAATTGGTTTTTCAGTTACAAATTTCAGAATAAGCTAACAGGAAAACTGGAGACTTCGCTCTGGCAGAAAATGTAATATACCCATTTTTAATATAATAGAGTACCATTCAGCATACTAGATATGTTTTTATAGACAATACCTAATAGTACTTTGGAATTCAAAGTGTTTATATAGTCCCCACATTTAGACCCTATAATGTATCTGCAGAGTTGGAATTACCTTGTTTTACAGATGAGTACAATGAGGTTTATGAAGGCTTTGTGCTTTGTCTAGAGTCATGAGGGACCAGTCTAAGAACTAACTCCACACCTTTCATCCTTTCCACTGTATCTTATTAGTTATATGCCTACCTTCACTTTCTAATACTTAACATTTCTCCATTTTGTATAAATGAACATTGGTTAAATAATGTTGTAAAATGAGGCTTATATCTTTCCATCCACTTCTGAGGCATGCCTTAAGACCTCATCCACCCTATAGAGGGATTTCCTAAGTTATTAATCGTACTCCTCAACATGAAGATTCTGATAATGTGCTAACAACTAGTACTTTTTTTTTTTTTTTTTTTTGGGTGGTGGTGGGGCTTGAACTCTGGGCCGGAGTGCTGTCCTTTAGCTCTTCAGCTCAAAGCTAGCGCTCTACCTCTTCAGCCACAGCACCACTTCCAGTTTTCTGGCGGGTTATTGGAGATAAGAGTTTTACAGGCTTTCCTGCCCAAGCTGGCTTTGAACTGCAATCCTTAGATCTCAGCCTCCTGAGTAGCTAGGATTACAGGTGTAAGCCACCAAGACCGGCTACAACTGGTACTTTTTTTTTTTTTGTCAGTCGTGGGGCTTGAACTCTGGGCCTGGGCGCTGTCCCTCAGCTCTTCAGCTCAAGGCGAGCACTCTATCACTTGAGCCAGAGTGCCACTTCCGGTTTTCTAGTGGTTTATTGGAGATTGGAGTCTAGAACAATTAGCATGTAGTTAATCATCTACGAAAACACTTTATCATCCTTTTGTTGTATTTCATTCTTCCTGAAGGTAAGGAAAACTTTCTATGGTCTTTTTCTTATCACTGTTGTATGAGAGCCAAGACTATCCTTGAACTCTAAATTCTTCTGTTTCACCTCCTAAATTCTGGGATTACAAGTATGAACCACAACTCTTGGGTGGTTGTAGTTTTTACTTGTTTTTTTTTTTAATATACTTAACTAAGTCTTCCCCAACACAGAATTATAAAAAGTACTTCTGTTTCTTCTAGTACTATGTAATTTGGTTTTTACTTGTAATCCTAAATTCCATGCATACTTATTTTAGTATAAAGATACAAGGCTATAAACTTGGTGCCAGTGATTCATGTCTGTAAACCTAACTACTCAGGGAGCTGAGATATGCAGATTGTGGTTCAAAGACAGTTTGAGCAGGAAAGTCCATGAGACTCATCTCCAGCCACCAGAAAAAGCTCGAAGTGGAGCTATGGCTCAAATTGTAGAGTGCTAGCATTGTAAAGTACTAGCTTTGAGCACAAAAGCTCAGGGAATGCAATAAACCCTGAATTCGAGTCCCAGGACCCAAACCAAGCCCCCTGCCCCCAACAAATGTGTGTGTGTGTGTGTTCATGAAAACTTCTTTTGAATAATGTCTCTTCTAGTGGTTTAGTAAAAGATAGGAGAATGAAAAAGTAGAAGTATGAAGGTAAGGAAGTTTTTATATCAGAGATGCAGGTTAAAACACTTTTTTAAAATTAGAGATTTTGGGTTATGTCTTCTGTCTTGGAAGATTTCACTGGACTTTACAAAGAAGTAGAATATTTTATTTGGTCTATTTGCCATAATTTAATATGTTTTTGTCCCTCCTTAGGTTGTTACCAAGACCTTTCATGGTGCAGGCCTGGTTGTCCCAGTAGATAAAAATGATGTTGGATATAGAGAGCTCCCTGAAACAGATGGTAATGTACTTTGTATGTAAACATGTGCATACATGCTAGTGTATACATGTAGAAAGGCTTTCCTTACATTGTGAAGTACTCACAAAGAGCAAACTTAGGCTTTGTCAAAAGTAAGTCTAATTAGATATTTAGTACATTCATTTTATGTACATCTTGAGATCTGGTACACTGGTATTCAGAAAGTAATGAAGAAAATATTGAAGGCCAAAATAGAATTGTTAGCCACTTATTTTTTTTTAATAGTCTTGAAATAAACATTATGAATTTTCCCTGGACTCTTACTTCAGACTATAATTTTGCCATGGCTACACTTCTCCAACTTATGGTTTTAGTTTTTGAATTGATTTCTTGTCTTTCTATTATTGTCTTTTTGTTCTTAATTCACAAGTTTTTGTTTTTTGGCAGTTGTGGGCTTGAACTCAGGGCCTGGGCTCTGTCCCTGAGCTCTTTTGCTCAAGGCTAGAGCTCTACCACTTTGAGCCATGGCTCCACTTCCATTTTTTCTGATGGTTAATTGGACAGAAGAGGTACTTTCCTTTCCGGGCTGGCTTCGAACCATGATCTTCGGACTTCAGCCTCATGAGTAGATAGGATTATAGGCATAAGCCACCACCACCTAGCTCATGGTTTTTGTTTGTTTTGTTTTCGTTTTCTTAAATATCTTTTAAAAAATAAAGTAGGACAGGTAAAAAAAAAATTCAGTAACTTTGTCTATTCGGGATTTTTTTTGTTGTGGTCATGGGGCTTAAACTCTGGGCCTGGGCTCTGTCTCTGCGCTCTTTAGCTCAAGGTGAGCGCTCTACTGCTTGAGCCACAGTGCCACTTCTAGTTTTCTAGTGGTTTATTGGAGATAAGAGTCTCATGGACCTTCCTACCCAGGCTGGCTTTGAACCATGATCCTCTGATCTCAGCCTCCTTAGTAGCTTGGATTACAGGCGTGAGTCACTGGCGCCCGGCTGTTGTTTTTTTAAAAATCCAACTCCTAGAGGTTTGGTTAAGAAGTTGGCCAACTTTCTAGACAGGGCCAGATAGCCAATGTTTTCAACTTTGTGGGATACATGCAGTATTTGCCGCATATTCTTGTTTTCCAACCATTTGTAAATACAAATCATTCCTTTTTTTGAAGGCAGTTAGAAATGAAGTGAGCCAGACTTGACCACAGTTTGCTGATTCCTAGACTAGCATACTTGGGAAGCCTTGAAATCATGACTGCAGTCCTCAGGAGGATAAGGCAGGAGAACCCTTAGTTCAAGGCCATTCTGGACTACATGGTGAGACTCTTCTCAAAAAAAAAAATCCTCTTGACTTCAACTAACTGTGAAGTACACTTTGCTAAAACAAATTTTTTTCTGCTTAGCCACATTTTATGCTTGAATTCTAAGTAGAAGAATTATAAAACTGCCAATCAAAACTGTAGTGTGGCAGATTTGTCAACTGGAAGAAAAAATGAAAAAAAAACGAACATAGAATCGTTTTGCCTTTAAAAGTGCTATACCTTAGCCAGGTACCAGTAGCTCACACCTGTAATTCTAGCTTACTAAAGAGGCTAAGATCCTAGGATCGTGGTTCAAACCCAGCCCACTACGGAAAGTCCATGAGACTATTTCCAGTTGACTACCGAGAAAAAAAGAAATCTAGAAGTAGATGTGTTGCTCAAGTGTTGAAGAGTGCTAGCCTTAGGATAAAAAACTTGGACTGTGCTTAGAACCCTGAATTCAAGCCCCAGGACTGGCAAAAAAAAGACCAACAAAATAAAACAAACCCCTTCCCCCCCCATTACAATGGATGACCCCTTTATATCATTGATTTCTTTCAGCTGACCTTAAGAGAATTTGCAAGACAATTGTTGAGGCTGCAAATGATGAGGAGAGACTAAAGGCATTTGCTCCTATTCAGGAAATGATGACCTTTGTACAGTTTGCTAATGATGAATGTGATTATGGCATGGGGCTTGAATTGGGAATGGACCTCTTTTGCTATGGTTCACATGTGAGTAAAACTGCTACCCACCTGCTGCTGCAAGTGCACACACATTTGTATTTGGAAATACAATGCATTTGGTATATGGATACATTTGGTATATTGAACCACCTAATATATTTGAAATCTAGTAAAGGTGAATAACCAAGATTATTTCCTATAGGTTTAAAGTATATTTACCCGTTAGACAAATGATATGAGTATGTCATTTGTAATGTGAGTGAGCGTTTTTTTTTTTTTTTTTTTAATTTGGGGTTGAATTCAGGACTTTGTACTGTTAGGCAAGTTCTCTGTTACTGGAGCCATACTCACAGCCCTTTCAAATTTAATTATTTGGGGGTAGTCTGTTTTCTTGCCTGGGTCAGCCTGGATGTCAGTCCTCCAACTTTTTGCCACCCCATAGAGCTGGAGTGCCTTACTCAGGCACTGGTGTTTAGACCTTTAATCCTAGCCACTCAGGCTGAACTCTGGAGGACTGGTCTGAAGCCAGCCTGGGAAAAATCTGTAAGACTCCATCTCCAAACTAGCAAAGAGTTGAACTGGAAGTACTGGCTTCACACAGAGCCAATCAAGAAGCAAACCTAAGCAAGCACAAGGCCCTAAGTTCACACCTTGGTATTGGCAGGAGAGGGGGAGGGAATAATATGTATATGTATATGTAGGATGATAGTCGACCATTATTTTCCTCATTAAAGAAAAACATCAGCTGCCTGAGTACTGTAACATGCTTCTGGATGGAGTGAGGCTGGTCTTAAAATCTTATCTTCCCCACTTGTGTAACTTTTCTAATATCTTTGTATCTATTTTTTTACCTATAAAATATCTGCCCATATCCACACTTGCATGTACTATTTCTCATTTAAGCTACTTTACAACTGGATCACAAAGAGGCAGAACATCTTACCCAAGTTCACAAAGGCAATTTGATTCTAGACTCAAATCTCTATAAACTGGGGGCTGGGAAGGTGGCTCAGTGGTAGAGTGCTTGCCTTGCATGCCTGAGGCCCTGGGTTCGATTCCTCAGCACCACATAAACAAAAAAACCCAAAAAAGCCGGAAGTGGCTCAAGTGGTAGAGCGCTAGCCTTGAGCTGAAGAGCTGAGGGACAGCGCCCAGGCCCAAAGTTCAGGCCCCACGACTGGACCCTCTCCCCACCCCCCCAAAAAAAATCTCTATAAACTGTAAAGTGCTTAGGAATGACTTGCTTCTAGGTAAAAAACAAATTATTTCTTGGGTCTGACACCTGCCACTTCCCATTTCTGATGTGCTCCCAGGTGATGGTGACTGCAGACCACACTGAGGAGCAAGACTAATCCAGTAGAGCTAACTCTAGCAGGCACCAAAATCATCAACAACTGTTCCAACATGGGTTCCCCATGTTCTCCTGCCTCCCATCCCATTGAGAGCTCTGAGTGGGTCTTCAGAATTTGCATTTCTTAGTTTACCAGGTGATGCCACTGGTCAGAAGAACACATTTTCTGAACCCTATCATAAATCCTACTGCCCTGCCTTTCTCTGCTTGCCTCATATATGGTTTCTACCAGTAAAATAAAAAATGTCTAATAGCCAGAATGACAGCAATCTGGAAAGTGCTTAATCTGCTCACAAATAGTAGAATAAACCAGCTAAATAGGAGACTTGAGAATTTTACATAAGTATTGAATAGATTTAAAGCACAGCACTTAACCACGCTAAATGCTGAATGTTTACTGTTACTGAGAATGTTGTATTGCTAATTACTGTATACTATGCATGTATGCAATAGCACTGTAAAACCATTCAATAAGCCTAGGGGGTAACTCTTAACAGGTAATGTTTCTGTGGTAAGGGAAGAAGGAAATAAAATACAGGAGAGTGACAGTGACATTTAGCATTTCAAAGAAGAATAAAGCTTAATGTCTAACTAGTAAGAATATGCTGAAAAGATAATGAGGGCATAGTTGGAAGACTTTTTTTTTTAACAAGTTGATAAAATTTGAGATGAGAACTTAAATATTTGTTTTCTTCTAGATTTCCTTCAAGGTATTTCCATTAGTCTTGTATAGATATGCACAATTCCCTCTTGAACAGAATACCAAGTACCTGTGCCAAAGTCAGTTTGTCAGTTGAAAAAGTAGTTAACATGATCTTGGAAAGTAGGTTTTGTAAAAATGGACCATTTCATTGTATTTTTTCCAAACACATAGGGCATCTGCCCTTTCCTGTTTAATGTTATATTCTTTTGTCTTTCAGTATTTTCATAAAGTTGCTGGCCAACTTTTACCTCTTGCATATAATCTGTTGAAGAGGAATCTGTTTGCAGAAATTATTGAAGATCATCTGGCAAACAGAAATAAAGAGAACATAGACCAACTTGCAGGATAAATGAGGGTTTGTTCTGTTTGGTGTATATTATTTTTAAATGCCATATCATACTTACGGGGGGTTGTTTTTAAGGAACACGGAAAATAAATGGAAAAATGGAAACATTTACTAAAAACTGACAGGCTATTCTGGACTTCTTTTGCGTACAATAAAGTGAACTTACCTGATTGGTGACACCTGACATTTTGGAAGACACTGCATGTTATAGGTAGTCACTGTCTAGTGGATTTGAAGAACTAGACAGTTACTACTTTCAGGGTGTCCTCTGTTACTATCTGGGTTGAGTATTACTAATCCAGAATTCTCAAGTCAAAAATCTTTGAGGATTGACATGATGCTGAGAAGTTTTGAATTTTGAAGCATTTTAGTTTTGGGATAAGGGATGCTCAACTAGTGAAATAGATCTATGAAAATATTCTAAAATTCTGGTCCCATGACTCACTAATGGGAAACTCAATTTACTGTATGAATAATACAGTAAATCTTGAATTAATACAGCTATTCCTTTAAGGGCTGGAATTATAGTGGTATATAAACAGGGATACAGGAGAGGTAAGTTTACATGGAAACTCATGTTATAACCATGGCTAGTGTAGATGATCCCAGGCCTACCAATGTGCATTTTAGTTATTTCCAAGTAACTCATAGTCTCCCAGTTACCAGTCCAGTCCTTAAGACATTCCTTCCTTTAGAATTGAGTCTGATTTAACAATGACCAGAACATAGGTATATTAATATAGTAAGTGGTATTATATATCATATAGGTTCTAGTTTTCCACTGAAATTCATTTTTGATACAAACCAGTGGGTAGCTGTGATTTATTCCTTATACCTGACAAGAATCTTTAGCCTTAAAACCTAAGTGCAAACAATGACATACAAAATTTGGCGGATCATGCAAAAGAGCCTCTGCATATAAAGTTATCTGATTTAACCCGCATAGATTTACCCAAAGAACTTTTGTTGAATGGTCAGTGGTTTTCCAGAGTTGTTCTAGCTGGCACTCTAAAACAGATTTACTTTTTAAAATAATGTGGTAAATACAATGCGGTCTCATGGCCCCAGTTAGGCTACAAGCTTTTGTGGGAGGGGAGAGGATTTCACACACACAGTTCTGGGGGTTGAAACTCAAAACCTCCTAACTCAGGAAGTCAGCTTTTTCACTCACAGCTGGCACTCTGAACTACAGTTCCAGCTTTTTGCCGGTTAAATGGAGATAAGACTCATGGATTTGTATGCTAGGCTGAAACACCCAGGGAAAAATGAAAGCTTATAAAAAAAAATTAGTGAGATGCTGCTTTATAAACTACTCAGCAAGGGCCTAAGTCCCTCACACTAGCTCAAACAGACTGTACTGACTCAATGTCAAACTATTCCTATGTAGATTCTTGCTTAATATTGATGGGTAATCCAATACCCTTACCTCAGTTCATTCATTTCCAAAGATCTTGACTAGTTGGTGTCAATAAGGAAAACCTCCCTAACCTAAACTACAAGCATTCTAAATATCACTTGTCTTTCCATCTTCTTTTACTAGCAGCCCCTTCTGTTCATTCCATTCTTGCTTCTGCACTCAAACTAGGTTCACTTTCCCATTAAAATCATCCTAATCATCCCTACATTCTAAAACTTGCCCACTCCTTAGCTGAATGTTCTCAGAATCAAGCAGCTGTACATTTTAAAAACATTGCATTTAGTGCCTAACACCCAGTAAGTTCAACAAACACTCAACAAATGAACAAAGATCTACCCTAGATTTTTAGTGTTTTCCTCATAGAACATTTAATATTAAGACTGAAATTTCATTCAAATGTTCCGTTTATCACCCTTTCTTAAGGTTCTATTAGAAAACTGCCAAGGTAATTTTTTTATAGCAGGTAAATCATTTAACCTGCTCTCTTTGTGCACGTTTTTCTCTTTTAAAAAAATGACACTTTTGAAAGTGAACGAACTGAAATAATTTTGCAGACAAACCTTCCACTGACACAGGTTACAAAAGCATATTGTTAACATGCACGGACAACTTGCTGTTCTACACAGCATCTGCTCTTCTCAGGATTCTTGTTTTTGTCTTTTTTTTTTTTTTAATAAAGCACAGAAATGGCTTTCTAACCTGAGAAGCACATTATAATGATCACCTTTTTGAGACTGGCTGTGCGTGTCAGGCATATTGGCCTACACTGTTGGCTAGTGCAGCCAGCAGTACGGGGGGAGGGCTGTTACAGGTTAATTAAAGGCCAAACCACACATCATCATATAGATTTTAATAGATTTTTTGATTAACTCATCACAGTAATCACTTTTACTGTAATGATATGCAGCTTTACTACACTAGTATAAATAAAAACAGATAAATACAGCTCTAGGCAACATCACAGATTAACAAACTAAACATTCTTCATGAACCAAAACTGAAAACAATTATTAAGAGGAAGAAATGCTGACACTCTTGCCCATTCTCATCATACCTTCTCAAAGAGGGTACTCAAATAAGGCGCTACGTTTATTATATTGGTCAATTAGTTTGCCAATTAGCTAGGCACATGTATTTTATGGTCTCCACTAGTTCATTTGGTTGAAAAGCAGACAAACCTCAATATATCAAAAGGAAGGATGAAACAGATGGTAGTATGAAAGAAAACCTCAGAATGCATTAAAAATACGGCACTTTTCCTGTATTTCAGCAGTAAGACATCTCAGAAATAGAAATATACCAAAGAAAATTTATGCTTTAATATTGACCCTGAAATGTCAATCTGATGAAAAATGGGCAATGAAATTAAGGTCTGAATTTAAAAAGAAAACTTTGGAGAAAAATCCATATGTATTTTATGTATGCAACTATTTGCAAAAACTAGTTTCTCCTTTGAAGGCTTAAAACTCCAGATAGTTTTCTGTCAGCCATGCTAAGGAGTTAGTTCATAGTCTAGCAATGCTTTACAAATAAAAGTGGAAGAAACAGAACTGTCATTTAGAAATCTTCACTCTGGATATCCAAAAGAACTTTGAGAGGCCTGTGACAAATACTTGAAATCTGCCAAAAATAGTAAATAATGAGGATAATATATTAATTTTTGGCAGATAGCACAGGTAAGAATGTTTCACAAAATTCCTAAAATTTTGCTCAACTTTCAATCACTAATATGGCTTCATGATCTTAAGTCTTCAAGATCACACAGATCTTATGTGGTTTTGCAGATGCTACAGGCATATTATTATTAACTAGGAAGTGAAGCATCTTTCAAAATGTAAAAATGGCTCATTGCCAGTTATGTTTCAGAAAATGTCTGTCTGCAAAAATTCATTTGCCTATCAAAAATGCACAATCAGGATATTTAGGCCTGTCCTTAGAGTAGTTACTGCCTTAGAGTAGTTACTGCCTTTGCCAATAGTGAATTACCATGATTCGAAAACCAAAACATTCTAAACGTAACTAGTACATTTTAACTGACTCTACAAAAATGTGCAATGTAGCTATTCAAACCATCATGGAACACTTCCAAAAATGAGTATAATTTACCCAGAGATGAAAAGTTATACTGAGATGAGAATTTTAAGTACTACCTTTGCGATTTATTTTCTTTCTTTTTTTGTTTTCTAGAAAAAGTTTAAACATTAACTTTTGGGTTTTAGTCTATTGAATAATTTGTGGTGTTTTCGTGTTTTCAACTTTCCAGTTTGTAGGCCAAAATGGACAGGTCAGAAGACAATCCAGGAAATGGCAGTGAGAGATCAGATAAAGATTTTGCACACACTAGATCACCAAAAAGTAACCACCTCTTCTAAACACTGGCTTCCATTGTAAACTTTGTTCATATCTCCATATTTGTAAGTCTGAATTAGTATATAAAAATCACATTAAAAAGGTAAAATTATTTAAGTGCGATATTAACTGATCTGTATTTTATAAATTTTAATCCATAAAAATATAAATAAGAATGGTAAATTTTAAGAAAAGAAATATACATTTAGTGCAAGTTATGAATTACAATTCATCTTCAGTGTCAGCAATGCATCTTGAGGAAAGAAAATGACTTATCTAATTCCAAGAAAAAAATTCCAGTGTTTTATCATGCATTTAATACCAAATACAGCTAAACAGAACACTTCCTTCTCTTTACTGTCATAGCAGCAGCATTGTTTAATTATGCTGAACAGCACTTCTATACCATAGTAGTAGTTTTAGAAATAGAAAATTTGCATAAGACCAGGTCACATTTTCCATAAGTCTGTAAGGAAAAAAATAAGACTGTTTATCCTTTAAAGTCAAAGTTTTTGATTCTGAATCACAAAGCCTACTAACTGGGAGATTTCATTCACACTTCATTCAAGATTTTACCTGTTTGGCCAGCCTTTGATGTGGTGTGTGTGCTGTTCCAAGCCTTTAGTGATGGTATAAACTACATGGTTAATGGCACAAGAAACACACCCTTCTTGTGAGGAAACCTCTAAAATCACAGTACATCTCAATATGAGAAAGGACTGCTTCAAAAGGGTACACCAATTCAAAAGGCTTTGTTATAGCTCAGGAGAGAAAGAGAGAGAGAGAAATAAAAGCTCTTCTGGAATGTAGAAAGGTAATGCTTAACTATAGAATTCATGAATTAAACAGAACAGTTCAGATTTAAAAAAAAAAAAAAAAAAGAGGGGCAAGACCTTGCAGTCTTACTGATGGCTCAATTCAAAGGAATCCCTCCAGAAACAGGGACTGAGAACGTGTCTTTAAGATGTTGGATTAACAGGCCAGGTGCTCGTGAACTTTGAGGTCATTCATCTCCATTGAGGCTCAGGCCTGCACCATCACGGCACGTTGTCTGTGAACACATCCAGTGAAGAACAACAGAAGGCGGTTTGCTCATCTCTGTTAGACGGGGAAATACCTTATTCCTTTCCTTCTCCTTTCCCTCCTGAGACAATTCATTCCACCAGCATTATTTGCAAACCCATGTTGCAAGTGCTCTGCCTTAATATCTTTTTTTTAAAGAAGAAAAAAATGTGGACGACTCCCCCATGTTAAAGAGTTGTGCTATTCAACAAATGAACTTCCTCTTCTGTTTCTTCTCTCTCCTCATCTACGAGGTTCAGTTGAACATTATTGAAGCGGGGTCTTGGTTTGCCG